CAGTGTTAGGGGGGGGGGGAACTTGGGGATTTTAGCTTTTGAGAGCATTTACATGCACAACATTCTCTATGACACACTACAAGGGAAACCCCAACATGAGGGTAACTCACCTGAATAGTATGTGAGAGTCCTGCGATTCTGGTCGAAAACAAACCAGCGTTTCTTCCAGGTCTTGATCTTGCCGCCCATTTTAACCAGGAAGCCTCGGCAGGTTTTATCAGTGATGGCCAGATGGAAGCAGGTGTCTGGGTTGTGTCCAGCTGCCTCAATGTGACCGTGAAGATCAAAGTCGTCTTTCCTCATAGGGAGGTAGCGGGTCAACAGCCGAGACTATGGGAAAAGCAATTGATTTAGATTTAGTTTATGGTGAAAAAAAACACATCAGACTTCAAAATCTTCCTGTCAGTTATTGCGTATACCTGTGATCTTTGTTTCTCCCTGAGCTTCACCTCTCTCTCCACCAGTTTCTGCCTCCTGCTCGTCTCCTCCTGCAAACGTTTCTCCAGTTCCTCTCTTCTTCTTCGCTCTTCCTCCAGAGCATGCCTGCGCATCTCCATCTCACGCTCCTGCACATGCCACATAGTGTAAATTACATCCATAAAGTCACACACACATCCAAATACACAGGAAGTTTGGGTTATGAATGCACATTACCCGATGCTCAAGGAGCCTGTGCTTCTCAGCCTGGGCCTCTCGGAGTAAACGCTCCATCTCCTCCAGCTTTGCCATGTTGGACATACTGGCACTAATGGGGAAAAATAACAATATTTAAAGCTGCGAGCAGCGATGAGCAGCGATGAGCAGCGATGAGCAGCGATGAGCGGCTCTTTGACGATTGTCCGCAGGTCGATGTCACGCAGATGTTTTCCCAGACTCGGTCGTTAGCAAACATGTGAAGTTTCGGTCCGAACGGACAATGGACATGGGAGTTACGGCAGTAACATAAACATTGTGTTTGATGGCGAGTGATCTGTCTCCATCGTTAACATCATTTGATGACACCCCATAAAAGGCTTAGATGTCTTGAGGGATGCGTCATCATCAAACGTGAAGTTTTGGGCTGTTTGGAGCATTTCCACTGAAGTTACGAGAAAATTGTGTTTTATGGCGGATGATGTTGCTATGGCAACGGCATAAGATGACACCCCATAATAGGCTTGGACCGGTATGGAAGCCCTTTTCTGTCCCTGCTTAGAGGATAAAGAATATCCTATTTGTCATGATGAGGATATCAAAATAGTAAGAATGGTCTCAGACCTTAATTACAGTTATCTGATTAAGGGGGAATACACTACTGTTTGTGATGTGATAAATACACTGTAACAAACACAAATAAAGAAAATGATTTCATGATAAGAAACTTGTAAGCCCCCATCCCCCTTAAACACATAACAGTAGATACAAAAAACATCACAAGGGCTGTTATTACATTTGCTGATGTTTATGTAACTGTGAGAAAGCGTGGGGAGAGTTGGATGTCTTTCTAAGAACATCTCCTGATTATCTCTGACAGGCTCGAACTTACCTTCTAAAAATACCACTCTCCTTTTGTATTTGCTCCGTCTAAACTTTTCAAAGTAACCTTTTATGTGTACATCATGGCGCTTTCCTCTGACCTGGAGATGTTGTCGGGGGAGCAGGCGGAGAAGCTGGTCTCCATGCTGTCGGAGCTGTCCACACTGACGGTGTCTGAGGTCAGGCTGGTGTCCTGGTAGGAGAAGGAGTCCAAGAACACGCCGGGCTCTGAGATCAGCCTGCTGCAGTAATCACTTCTTCTCTGCCGCTCTTCATTCATGTGTGCATGGCTGTTGTCTGCTGACGGGAGAAAAGCGCACAGTAAGAAAATGGAAATACCCTTCAGCATGCATGATGTCGTGTTAAATAGCATCAAAAGACCTGCAGTTTGTTAACTAGTGAGCCAGGTGCCATTGCATCTTGCAATCAATATTCAAGGTACACTGATTAAAGTAAATAGAAAAGGATACAGGTAGGGGAGAAATGTGGAATTGAAATCTTCCAAAAAGATTACTTTGGCTTTTTTTTAAATAACATTTCTATTCGTTAACATTACTGTGACTTTTTTAAATTACATTTCTAAAGACAAACCTTACTAACATTTTATCTTACTACCATACTATGCCTTCTTTGTATTGCATTTTCAAAGACCTTTCTACTTTATTATGCTGAGTAGTTTGTCAAATGTTTTGTATAGCATTCAACATCACAGTATTTTAATGAGTGATCATTTATGATCAAATGTTAATTGTGAAACAAGTTTCTCAAAACCTTATCACACACATCCAATTCCATTAAGATACTTTGTTTTTGTTCCACGTTTAAAGAAAAGCATATATTTTGCTGTAAATCACAAACAGCTAATGCACAGTATTTGTGTTAAAGGTCTCCTATCATGCAAAATGCACTTTTTTATGTCTTTTATACATAAATATGTGTCCCAGGGAACTCAC